ATAAAAGCCCTTTTGTTTTAAGGTTTGGCTTAAGTAACCAATGGGTAATTCTTCCTTTACTGGTGCTTTCCAAACAGGTGTTCTCTCACTTCCCTTTGAAGCTCCTGGTGTTAGCCACTGTCAAGGATCTCATCCAGTAAATGCCCATTCACGATAACAGTCCTGTTTGAAAACTTGTTTTAAACAGTTTTCCACCAGCATCATGTGCTGCATGCTTACATTTATCCTACTGAAACCAGAGTAAATTCATAAAAGTCAATGGAATTGATCTTGATTGAAGAGAGAAATCAGAATGTGGCTTAGTATGTTGGTTGTTACATTATTTATTACACAGCCTCTGGATTCACAGCAGATGAAAACTGCAGTTCTCGCAAGCATAGCACAGCCAGGCAATCGTCTTCCACACCGACAAACTTCTCCATCTGCCCCTGTTGGTGTAATTGATGGCTCACTGCAGATAGCTTAACTCTGTTACATCCACCTAAAGAAATTATCAAAGACTTACAAAGCATGGGAGTGACCCAGGAAATGTAGATGCAACCCGAAGACTCAGATCAAAGCTGCCATGTATGCTGGGATTCAGAGTTTGGGCTCATGCCCATTTTGTAAATGATGCACATGCAGAATGAGTAAAGATGAAAATACATGAAGTGCACATGGGTAGCACAGCAGCAATTCCTTCACCTGCCATTTTCTCTTTGCTTAGCTTCACTCGTAAGTGATTTCTAAATGTTTATTAGTCCTTCACAGAGATAATGAGTCTTTTTTTCAGCTTGTTACATACCAGGTGTTAGCATACATTTTCCTATATATTGGACAGAACATTGTGGAAGAAAGGAGTTTATCTTGTGTAAACTAAACTCTTTTAATTCACTGTGTTGCAAGTAACTTCACATACACATCTTACAATAAAAAACACCTGAAAAGCACAATCATAACACAACAATGTTGATAGGCTCTTTAAAAATTTCACCTGCAAAATGGAGTATTGTATTGGAAACTTAGGATAGCCATGGGAAAAAAATAATAATCTCCAGGAAAGGAGCAGATGCACAGCTAGTTTAGAAAATTTACTGGTTTAGCTTTGAAATCAAAATTAGCAGCAAAAGGAAAAGGTTCTTTACTCAGGAGAATTCAATTTATCCATTGTTTTAACATTTTGTGCCCTAAGCAAAAGCCACAGTTCTTTTTCTTCAGAATAGATCTGGCAGATTCCAGCCATAGAGTCTGTGGTTTTCAAACTCAAGAAGCTGTAAATTTTATAACTCTGCGCCCTGCGGTCAGAGCTGCTGAGTGTTGTGTCTGAAGTCAGGTGGTTGGTGTGTTAAAGGTAGACATTAAACAGTTCTATTGAGGAACTGGAAATGTTTAAGGAGGTTGTTTGCCAGCTGTAAATTTGGGAGCAAATGCCAGTTGGCTGAAAAGGTGCTGGAAAGCATCCAGTTAAGTAGACTAGCACTGGAGGTCTTTCCAAATTTGTAAGTCTGATAACTTGGCTGTATATGCAGACTTCAGTTACTGGGTTGTTAAGGAAGGGCTTTATAATGAATGTTTGAAAATACGATAGAAAAACTTTTTATAAGCTCATTACTTTGGCAAAATTGCAACTTTGCAATAGTATTGCATTCCTGATGAAAACTTGGTTGAACATTATACATTGAATACAATTTTTCAGCTGAGTGCCAGGGACCTTAAAGCATATAGTTTTGTGCCCTGCAATATTTTGGTTTTAGTACTTTTCCAGAGTTTGATTTTGCCCTTTTTCTGCATAGTTGGGATGACAGAGGAGGTAAGAGCCCTGACAGAGGAGGTAAGAGCCCTGACTGTGATGCAGCTCTAGCTTTGTAAATATTCCCTCTTGTAGTCTGCTGGGTGGGAAGGGGTCTGGCTTTGGCTGCCAGCCAGGAAATGGAGAGGAAGTTCACTTCATCTGCCTGTGATAATTGTGTCTACTTTCCAACGTGCAAGAAGGAGGTGTAGCCCAAGGTCTTAAAATGTGTACAGCCCAGCTTGCCTGGGGTGCAGGATTTACCCCAGGCACTCACTCAGCTGGAGTTTCTTACATCATTGTGTGGTTGTTCTCTGAAGCGATAGATACTAACATGTCTTGTTCTAACTCGTCCAAGATCATTTACTCTTCATTCCCCGCGCTCTGTTGAAGCACCAGGAGAATATTGCTCCAACAGGAGTAAAACTGGTTGCCATTTTTATCTTATCCTCCCTCTTCCATGTTCTGAATTCTGTTGTTCAGGATGCATCCGTTCTGTCACAAAGTAAAGAGCACTTTCAGAAGACAAGTGTTCAGTCTAATACTTAAAAATGTTTTTATTAGAAAGGTTTTAAGCTTTACTTTTTTTTTGGCCACTGACATAGCACAGTTATATGACAGTTGCCAGAATCAAATGAGACGAGGGTTAACCCCTACACAAGGTCTTGAGGTATAGACAAAACCTCCTCCTCTTTTGACACATGACTTACTAAAGGCCAGATAGAATTTCAGCCTCTGCAGTTGAAGGAACACAGAGCACCTACTGAAATGGGAGAAAGTGCATCCTCATAGGAGCATGAAAGAGGAAATCTGACTTTGACTGTTCATACATTAGCCAGATCTTTTCTAACACAAGAAGAAAATAAAGCTACTCTCTGAAATTGTTTCTGGCTGCCTAAGATACTGAGATCTGTACTAATACCTTGGACTTGTAGGACCTTCCAATCAGTAAAAGGAAATTAAAGCATTTACATCAGATAGGTATGAAAACCCAAGGTAAAAAGAAAATTCCTGGAAAAAAGTGACACTGGTAACGGTTTGAATAGAGCATAGCAAATAGGGCACAGCCCCACACATTGATGAATGAGCATAAAGTAAAATATGGAAACTTTGGAATACACTCAGTAGTGAGCAACATGTGCTGTGAGCACAGAGTGTGGTAGAGGCTTTCTGGAAAGACAGGATGAGATCCAGAGGCGCAGGGCAGCGTCAAGTTGCACAGCAGTCTCAATTCTAATGTCTCCTAATTTCAGAGTGTTTGATTTTAATCTTGTTCTTGTAAAATAGTTGTGATGTATGCATACATATATGACTCACCCCTAAAACAGATATAATAAATTATTGCTTTCAAGAATATTCAGTAAAAATAGAGAGGTCAGTCATTACTCTCAGATCTGTTTCTTCTGTAATCTCACAGGTATTCTAAGGTGCTCATGAATTAAGCTTGGATGGGTGCTTTACCTGTGCTTGAAGGATCTTCTAATCTGAATCTTCCAATGAGAAGGCACATTCCCTCCAATTCTTTTGAAAGTATTTTGCCTTTTACAGTCCTAAGTGCTATATTCTCAGTTTGGATCATTATTAAGGTTCACTGACTGAAGTAAAATCTTTGGCTGCTAAGAATAGAAATATAGCATCCGTTTTTCTTTCTTCTAGAAAAGTAAACAGTATGCAGTCCAGATCCGTCATGTGTTCAACATTATTGAGCTGGAGGTCATGTAAATTTGGTCTGATTTTTCACTGTCATGGGTAATTTCCGTTTTCCAATAGGTACATTTTCAGAATACTTTAAAACCCTTGGCTACATTTCAAAATGTTATTATATTTCTTGGTCTTAAATGACATAAATGCAAGTTTGTTGCTGTTTTGTGAAACTGGTCTATACAGGCATCAGTGGATTGCTTAAGCACTCAGGTTAGACATCATGTGAACTTAACAGATATTTTATTAATATTTTGAATTATAATAATTAACATGGACTGAAACTGTACTTGAAATGCTAGTGCTTATCAAAATGCATATTTAGGAACTGAGAATAACTGCACCTGCTCTTTGTATTACTATGACCAGATCCATATTGGTGAAGACTTAAACCAGAGCTCTGTAACTGTAAAATCTTCTACTTTTTCTATTAAGTATGAATATAAATGCACTTTGCTGCCAAAAATAGTTTCTAAAATAAATGTTGTTAAATAGAAATTTCCCCCCCAATTTAGGTGTGTGTCAGATGTTCATGCATCTTGCATTGATTATAATTCAGACTTGAATACAGTGAATTTTAAAGTTCTGCATGTGAAAACTGCAATATAATTCACTACTAAAATAGTACAGCCTCAAGAACTAGGCTCCCTGAGTTAAATGACAAAGATTGTTATTATAGTCAGTAAAGTCAAACTTTCTATAAATTTTCTAACACATTATGCTAAAATCATGAATAAAAGGTTTATCCAATCCTTTTTCCTTTGTAGACACCCCAGGACAGGTTCTTTCCTGGACTGAAGCTTTATCAGCTTCAGTCATCATGAAAAAAACCCCAAAACAGCTGAGGGTCTTCCAAACAAAATTTATCACCAGTCGCATAGGAAAACTTTTTCACAAGAGAAAAAAAAAAATCTCTACATACTTATTTCAGCCTCAAGAACAGAGGAAGCCATCTCTAACCACCTCTATTCCCAGTCCCCACACTATACTACTGCTTTTTTTCAGTAAAGCTTTGAGTCCTGCTTGCTTCATGGGCAAAAGCTTCTTCATTCATAGAAGGCATTGTGGAAGCATTAGCTAGCGTGGACTTTGCTTACTACAAGATAGGATGTGTATTTCTGCACTCTTCTGTTATGTGCCCTGCAGGTGTTAGTCCAAGCAAACACTTTGCTGTTTAGGAATTACTTTAATGGTTTTTAGTTTATTGAAAAATTAGGTCTCCTGAGAATTCTTTCACAAACATGATGTGTATTAAGTGTGTATCATGCTCAGTTTGTTTCCCTTCAGAAGACAAACTCTCTCTTACCCTCTCCCCGTTTTTTTTTTTTTTTAACCAACCCCCAAATACCCCTCTATAGATCCTGTTACAAGGCAAAAATCCAGGGATTGCTTGGGAATATACATTTTCCAAAACCAACCATGAAAACAAGACATCTGTCAAAAAACACAGCTACTCCTGGGTGACAGTGCAGTCAGAGTGCTCAGCTACTTGCGGTGGTGGTAGGTAACTTTCCAATTCCCAATCTTCTTCTTTTTCATTTTTTAAAGCATCTCAAACATCTACCTTTACTTTTGCAATTGTATATCAATAAGTACAGGGGGGTTTACACTTAACACCTGGTCCTTATTTTTTTTATCTGACAACTTATAACATAAATGAAGTACCTTCATACTGCCTTTATATTAAAAAAAAATAAATTCATGCCAGTCTCACATTAACTGAGACTTTTTTCTTTAGGTCAGTCTGTATGCATACAGTAATTAAATTAAATATGTGCTTTGATGTTGTAATTTGGGAACATAGAAAGATACCAAATAATGAGTAAAATTTATCTTATCTGTAGAGAGTAATTGAAGATTAGAATGTTATCAAGAGCTTTACTGACAGTTGCACCCTGATCTTCTTACTGTTTAATTACAAATATTTGAGTTCTGCCAGGTCAAAGTCTGAAATTCTGTATAAGCTAAGGATTTCTTATTACCATATTCCTCTAGGTATTTGCTTTGCACAGATCATCAATGTATTTTTCTAAATCTTGAATGTCCTGTCAGTGAAAGTAATTCTAGGATGTAATGAAAACAGAAAACTGTCATGTAGGAAGTCCTGCAAATCGAGAATTAAAATTTTAGTAGCCTTTAAATTGGAACTGGGTCATATAAATAAGACTATATGCTGTGGTTGTCTTTAATACCAAAGAATAGGACTAGGTGACCAAGGAAATGCCGCATTATGCTTTATTGTTATGGCAATAAAGTCCAGGTGAAATACAGAAGTATCTTGCTAGTGTGTTGTCAGATGTCACAGCACCTCAATAAACTGTTTATGGAAGAAAGACCCACCAGGAACACTGCAGACATAAAATAAGACAACTGCTATTTTCTTGCTTCCCTTTAAAACAAGTGAAGATGGCAGCACGGATATAAAGATGATGGAAACAACCGTGTTTCCAAATTTGACTTGCTGTGCCCCGTGAGCCATGTGTGAAGTGAATGATACATCTCAATTAAAAGATAAATCTATAAAATCACTTCATCTCTTAAGGCATTTGTAGTCTTCTCTGTAATCTGTCCTGGTGTTGACACTAGGAAGAGTTTAGGTACAGGAACATGCAGAATTCTGAAGTCTGTAAAGATACACTGGAAAAAGTTGCAGAATGTTTTCTTGCAGTTTGCAAGCGCATGAGGAGAGCTCTAAGAAAGCACTGCTAGTTTCTGCAGGGAATTAGGATTTGAAGAATTACTAATTTTTGCTGGGGGAAGATTCTGCAAATATGCTCTTTATAACTAAAATGTTTCATCTGACTTCAATAGTGCCTGTGTTGCAGAGAAGGAAATTAATGTTAAAAACATTTTGACAAATTAAATCCTATTTTATTTAGTTCAAGTCAGTGGAATTGTAGCAAGGATGAGCTTGGACTTGTTTAGTTAAAATTCTTCCTTATTACTTCTTCTCTTATATTTTTGAGTAAACATTTATTTTACAGTATCTTTTCCTAATTCTTCCATAGGACACATTACAGCAAAAGCAATTTGTTTGGAAGATCATCGTACACGAGTTAATTCCTCCTTTTGTGGCCCAAGGATGAAGCCTTTAACCGAAACAAAACTATGCAATACTCATCCCTGCCCAGCATAGTAAGTTCTCTTTATTTTTGTACCTTTTTGCGGTGCGTTATGACTGAGTTTGCCACGAAAGAAATCCTCTCTGATAGGCACACGGAACTGTACAGCCTGCGAGCTGAACCCACTTTTATTCTGTAACGTAAAACGGTAATTGTTTAAAAATGTTAGTTGTGTAGGCTTCTGCCCAATGATAATAATAGAGGCAGCATTTCTAATGTTGCTAAGCAAGACCTCCCGAGGATTGCTTGCAGCTCTGTCACCATGCTGGGGTTAGCTATGTGACACTGAGTAAATCTAAGTTAGTTAGAGGCCTGTTCTGCCACCTTTACTCACCTTGAATCAATAAGACCATTTCCTGAGTAAAGTGCTACTCCCCATGTGGAAGCTTAGCCCCTTGACTCAGATTCCACATATTAGATTAGGTTAAAAGAATCTTGTGAAGTGTAATTAGTGATTTTTGGACAAAATGTCCCACAGAGTATTATGGTACTGAGAAGAGGACTATCTAAAGCAAATAAATCATAAGCAATGCTCCTGGTGCCCACCAAAATAAATATGAAGACACTGCCTACATGACCAATCTTATTTTCTGAAAGACATAAGAAAGGTGAGATGCAGAGGAAGACATTGACATATAGATAAGCATTTAGACTCCAGCTGGTCTAAATCAATAGAGCTGCTTTAAAAACAAGGGAATTACACTGATTTATAGTAGCTGTTGTTGGGGTCCTTTGGGAAAAAAAAAGTGTGCTCTTGTAATTAAACACAGTATTATGTGGCTTAGAATATAAAGGGGTAGATTTAAGGACACATTGGCCATCTTTCTTCTGTGGGTTTTTGTTTTTTTTTTTTTAACTTTTGGATTCCTGACTTTGCAACCTTAGTGTTATTTTAATTTCATACTAAAGATCAGAAAAACTGTACTATGTTGGACAAAACATTTTGACTTCCAGAACAGGAGACTTTCTAAAGGAGTATGCTGAAAAAATTAAGAGTGTTTCAGGGGGAAATAAAGACAGTTGAAGATGCTTTGAAGCGTACAGGCAGCAGAAGGCACAGGAAATGGAGGAAAGCTATAGACCTGGTGTCATCTGCTGATTTTACTCAGCAGTGATAAAAGCAAAGGGTGGTAAAAGCAGTTGGCTAAGGCCACTCCCATGCTTCATAAAATAACACATTTAATGAAGTTTAATAGGAAGCATTCCTAGTCTCCTCTAGTCCAGAACAGGATGATGGGGCAAAGCAAAAAGATGTGTATGTTCTGCAGTGGCTTTGTTTTTACTTGAAAATCCATAGTTTGCAGCATGTCAAACATACTAAAAAACAGTCCAGTAATAGTTTGGAATTTCCTGCAAAATTTAAAGATTACAGCAGAGTACACAAAATCCAAATGGCAAATTATACACTGTGACCACAGAACAATTGAGATAAGGTTTAAATAATGGCAATATGTGACATGAGAGCCCCATGTTCCTGCTTCAGCAGTTTCTTTAGATTGCATTTAGCCACATGATTTTCTCAATACCAATTCTAAGTAATCTTTGTAGCCAAGCACAATCTTTTCATATGTGACTTATCTTCTGCCAGAACTATTTTTATCCAATGAACTCAGTATCATGTACATAGAAATGTACTGTCTATGATGGTCCCAGGAGTGTTTTTAGGCTGTTTACACTTACCTTCATTTTGATGTGGCCTTGTTATGCTATAAAGCTTTACCAAAATCATTCTTATTGCTATTAACCACATACAAAACTTCCATTTCTGTTAACCAGATCCTGATGTATTTGAACATCCTCTGATATATCTATCACTGAAAATGCTGAATATCCATTTTGACACTCAGTGGAATGTTTTCATGATGAAATTGCACTGATATTCTTAGATTTACTACTTCAAAACACAATTAGTGACTTGAACCCTGAAAAGAGTACAAAAAGAAAAACCTGTGAAAGCCCCAAGCCACCTCTAGGGAAGAACGACTGAATTCACTAATTAATTATTTTTAAAATCCTTAGGATATATTAATGTATGGAGAATCTACATGTAGGACCATGTCTTAAATTCACAGATTGCCATTCAGCTGAGTGAAACTATGCCAGAATATTTCTGCTGAGGAATCTGCCCAGAAAGTCACAGTGTGTAATATTTCCCATAAAACTGAGACTGTCAACATTAAAAAATGTAGTATTAATAAATACCATGGAGGAAACAAAGAATGCTTAATAGCCAGCAAATAAAGCAAACCCAAATACGGTAGGCATAATGGGCAAGGGAAGGAGGTGAATAATAGATGAGATACAAGCGTGTCAGTTCTGTGACATAAAAGAGGCTCCAGACATATAAAGGTCAGTGAGGAATAATTACTGCATAAGAACAAAGACTGGTTAGTCAGAGTAGGAGCAAACTACTGTCCCACCAGTAAGAACACAGAAAGGCATCAGTACTGCACTCTGTTGGATTTCAGAGCTGCCAAATCTGGTCATAATTATTTAGTTATTTGAGCTAATGAAAGATACTCTTGGATCACAGCCCAGATAATCTTGGAAAATGGCAGTTTACTAGAGGACATTAAAGTAGGTTTATTGCACTCTCCTCTGTGAAGAGTGGAACTTTCTGGGCAGTTATGGTGAATAAGCTCTTAAAATGATTGCTCTAGCAATCACTGTTGTCAGAAACATCAAAGCAAACTAATTAAAAGTTGTAAAATGGATTAAAATGATAACTTTTTTACAGAAGTTTGTATTGCAATAGTCCAAATACTTATAAATCAGAGAAAAAGGAAATTTCTGACATGTTCTGGAATTACATAACTACTGACTTTTCACATTAATATTTCTTTGTCCTTAAATTAGTGCTTTTTATATTTCCCACTACTTTTGGCAGTTACTAAAGTTACTAGACTGAGAGTTGGGATTTCTTCTATCCCCAAAGGGATTTTTCCAAAATAGGCTTTTAATACATTTTTTAACAAATTAAAATTAGCTTTGTTTTCAAGCAGATGTGAACAGACAGGCAAATGGGATGCTCTTCATCTTTCACACAGTCAAAAAAAAAAAAAGAGGCTTTCTTGTCATGGCAGCTGTATGTAGGCAGCTATTTCAGTGGTCACAAGGCTGGTGCTGTGAGAAACCATGGAAGTAGGATAGGCCAAGCAGTCAGATTTGAGACAAGAACCTTTTCTGTGGTATAAATTATTAAAAACTTGTAAAACTGCTGTTTCAACATCTTTAGTTCAATTTCAGTGCTAGGTCTTTGAATAAGAGTTCTCAACTCGAGTAATCATTTAGTCATTCATAATTTCCTTTTGTTTCTTCACTTCTATTTTCTATCTAGTTATTTATGGTCTTACACTGCAAGCCTTCGAGGACAGACACTTGCGTGCGTGTTTGCAAAGTGTTCCACAAAAACTGGGAACTCACTCAGTGCTTCAGTAATAGAAATACTGAGCAGCTATTGACACTTCAAAATGAACTTATCCCAAGCAATTGGCAATAATTCTTCAGCCTTTGTGTATGCATCATCAGTGACATGCTGCGTAACTGAAGTGTGCCAGTGACTGGAGTATAGATGTGCCCAACAGCTTTCACTGGTTAGATTTTCTCTGTTTTATTTAGATTCTACATCCTCTGTCTGCCAAATTTATTAGTCTGAGGACATTTAAATCCTCAAGACACTAATAAGACTACTGATTTTAGCAAGCAAGTTCTTTTTTTTTTGTGAATAGAGGCCTCTAAGGTTGGACATAAATACCATTGGACAACCACGCCAACATCTCTATCTGACTTCTTCCTTTGGCCCTGGGTCTGTTAGTCTATTGGAGGTCTCTTCAGCAGCTGAAGTGACAAAAGTGATCATCCTACCATTTCTTTAGAAAAGATTTTTCTTTTCCTGTTTTAGAGAGTTTTTTCAATTAAAAACATAAATGTAGTTAAAAGGAATAGTGAATTGTTAGCCAAACCCTTAGATCTTCTAGATACTCCACCAGCCTCAATGGCAGCATCTCTCTCAGTCCCTATGGAATTCCAGATTCCAGGTCAGATTCACAGGCAAGCTGGTTCTGGTAGATGAGAACTGTAAATAAGTAATACTAATTTTTCTAGTTGTGTGACTATATTGCATCCCTAGCAAAATGTTCCATGCTTTGAAGACAGATCACATAACTATGGCTTTTTGCTTGCTTGAACAGATATCAGTACATCAGGCTAAACAGAATCCCTCAGTAATTCACATTTGATAGGTTGCTCATATGTATTCATTTTATAAAGCTAATTGGACTCCTGTGTTTCTAACGTGCATTTTCTCCTTTAAGCTGGTCAACAGGCGAATGGAGCACATGCAGCAAATCTTGTGGAGGAGGCCAACAAAGTCGTCTCATTCAGTGTGTCCAGAAAAGGGCTTTCCAAAAAGAGGAGGTAGTAGCCCACTCCCTGTGTCCTGTCAGCACCCCTACACAGGTGCAGATGTGCAACAGTCAGGACTGCCCACCTGAATGGAGCCCTGGCCTATGGTCTCAGGTAACTGGAGAAAAACTTACATTTTTGTCTGCTGGCATAATGAAAATATTGCCAAAAACTCTGCTCAAGAAGAATAGTGCAAACTTTGTGAAGATCAGTATTTTTCAAATGGTTCTATTCATTAAGATAATATGTGCACTATGTGTTTATTTTATGTAGCCTTCCTAAGTGCTTGGACAGGAGGGCTTGCCACAAGTGGACATGTAGTGTCCTTTTTGGTACATACAAATAGATGGATAATTTTTTCTGGTTTCATAACTTAAGGCTTTATGAATTCTTCAAAGCCCTCTGAGATTACTCCCCACAGCAATATTAACTTTTCTAAGAGATGACAGGCAGTTGAGAAATTAAGAAATATTTGGGGTTAGAGTTGCATATTAACACACACATATGTGAATTGTGGGTTGATAAATTTGTGATTTACATGTTCACTAATCACTTCTGCACCTTTACCTTTGTTAGAGTAACTATTCTACTGCAAGTAGAGCACTGCTGCAGTTAATTGCTATGAGGGGAATAAGGCCCCTGGGCAGATTCCTCTATGTACACACCCTTTACAAACCTGTGAACTGCCTGACATTAAACCAGCCCCAGTTAAAAACCACACACCTGCTTACACAAAACTCAGCCCTGCTCTTTCTTTCACTGCTACTGATGCTGGTATGAACTGTACAGATAAATGAAGTACTGGGAAATCTGGGATTTAAGAGACAGCTGGCAGTAAACTTATAGCAAAAAAACCTGCATTATTTTTATTTTTCCATCTTCATTTAGGTGGATTTAAATTTACTGATAAATCTATTACTTCTGTGTACACTTCTTGGCACTGTTACTCTTTAGGTGTTCAAGAACATGTTGACCTAAGCGTTCCCAGCTGAGAAGCATGGGCTGCCTCTCCAGGGGAGTGCCTTGTAATGTACTATGACAGACAAATAACTACTCAGTAGTCCATCGTAGCAGTTTTAACATTCAAAAAGAAACTTTTTCTCCCAGTGTATGTGAAGGAAACCTTAGTGTGTTAGGAGATTATAAAAACTAGGTATGATGATTAGATACTTAAAAAGGAAGAACAAAGTCTTCAAACACATTCATACTTTCAAAGTTTCCTTCCTCTAAAATAAAAAAACCTCTCTCATAATTAAAAAAAAATAAATAAATTTTCCTTCTCTTTAGGAGGTGTACAACTCAAGTTGTGATTTTCAAATAAGCCTAAGAAAATTTAGTTCACAAGTCCTGCAGAAATGTAGTGAACAGGCCCATTGAACAAGTTAATGGAGATTTTAAGATTCAGCTGAAAGCTGTTCTGTCACAAGCTCAAAGGAGTTAAGCAGGAAAAAATGCAAAATAGCCGGCCACTCTACACAAATCAGAGTAATTTTAAATGGAAGGAGTTTTTTGCTTGTCTGGGGGAAAGATTAAAACCACAGATTTTCAGCATGCAGATATTTCTGTTGCATCCTCAGTACAACTCTGCTTTCATGAAATTTTTTAAAAACATTTATGATTTAATATGGCTAGCAATAGGACAGGATTCTGCCTTAGAATGTGCCCCTGAATTATTAGTAAAAAGAAGAACAATTAGAAGAGGATGCACCAGGGTAGAAAGCTGGCAGCATTATTTCAGGGCCATTTATTTCTTCATTTCATCAGAATTGGCTCATTTGTGCGTTTTGTTGTATGCTAAGGCAGTGAAAACCATAGAGGGTCTTTTCAACTGAACCATGGTTCAGCAATGCATATTTATTCACTGGTGACTTGTCCTAAGCTTCAGTTGTAATCTTGGCAATTAAAATACCTTTGGTCAAACTTCTTAACCATTGTCTGTATCAGATTCTGCCTTGTAGTGAGATTCATTTGGTGAAGGAGTTATGTATAGATTCCCTGGGTAGTTTTCTCTGCCTCTATCTCATCCCTCTAGGCCAGGGTGAGGACAAAATAACAAATAGCTGAGAACATCTTGCTGGGGGAGATTTTGTGATGGGAGGTTCGGACCAGCTTTCAACCGTGCTGTCCAGGGAAAAAAGCATTTTGCTCACGAGTCCAACTTACCTCATCTACGGAAGAGAGATATTACTTATCTGTTCTACATGGGGGCTGCAAGAGTTCATAGTTTACATTAAGAAAGCACTTAGAACAATGTTTTAGAAGTGACATACAGATGTTATTGTTACTTATTTACCAAAAAAAATTTGAAGTTTACTTATGTTATAATGGCAGCTACACGGCACATTAGCCATGGTTCTGTACTCTGCTGTGAAATACAAATAATGCCAGTTTTCATTTCCCCTGGTTCAAATGTATATTTCTTTCCATCACAGTGCTCCAAGACTTGTGGGAGAGGTGTTAAGAAACGGGATGTCTACTGCAAAAGTACTGGTTCTCCCAAGGTTAAAATCTTGCCTGAAAGTATGTGCAGCAGAGACCAGAAACCTGAATCCCAGCAGACCTGTGTGCTGGGACGCTGCCCCAAAAACGACCGACTCCAGTGGGTGATTTCTTCCTGGAGTGAGGTAAAGTGGTGCAGTTACATGGCTCACTGCCTTCCTCTGCTGCTCCTGGAAACGTTGACTCAGGGACACACGTGAATCATCTGGGGGAAAGAAAGCTGAGCTTTCATTTGAAAATCAGGTGTTCTAGGCAAGCTGCTATAAACATACAGTTCTTCACATCCAGATGTAGTTACATGTATCCCGATGTCCTTGTTTTTCAGGACTTTGACTGACTTGGATTTATATTTCAGTTTACACATTACAGAACACAGTCTTTGTGGTTTTAGTTATGTAATGCTTTTGTAGTTTCAGATAATTTGGGGTCTCTTGCACATAGCACGTTCTCCTTTATCTGAATGTGTTTCTATAGATTTAAAAAGTGTATTTTGCCTTTGCAGTGCTCAGCCTCCTGTGGCCCAGGTGTACAAAAGCGAGAACTAAAGTGTGGTGAGAAAAGCATCCATGGGAAATTGATCACCTTTCCTCAGCGAAGATGTAGAAACATCAAGAAACCAAACATCAACCTGGAAGAAGCTTGTAACAAGGGAGCCTGTCCATCCCAAACGTTGTATAACATGGTGTCTGGCTGGTATTCCTCACCCTGGCAGCAGGTAGGAATGAGAAACTTTCTTGCCTCTCTCTCCTTGTCCCAGCTAGCACACTTTCTCCAGCACCATTTCATGTCTTGGCTTTTACGGAGTTTACTAAAGGAGCGAATTTCCCTTCACAGTAGCTCAAGTAGAATCCCCTAGTGCTTTTCACTGCAGAGCATTAAAGAACAAAACAACTGCAATGTGACTGCTGACTCTTGGGCAGTCTATCCACCGTCATTAGAAGGTGAGGTTGCAGCGCTGGGATTAGGGAGCACCAAACCTAGAAATGCCATAGTATCCTGTGCCACAGAATGGACGCTAGCTGGAATGGCACAAACGCCTGGTGGGTGCAAAATGCTGAGTCCCACGCCACTGTGACTATGGGAGTGGGAGTCCCAGCTCCCCAGATCAAAGCTAGCTCCAGCCTTACATTGTGCTGTAGTCAAATGTCCAGTTATATGGAGGAGATTATCTCCAGTACTAACAGTCCACAGGTGTCTCCTGCACGTAACCATTCACTAAAGGTCACACCACTCAGCCACTGAAACATGATGCAGCTGGTCCACATCCATCAGGTATTTTGGTGCAGCTCATTTCTTTGTCCTGAAACTGAAGAATGTCACCCAAAAATGTTATTCATGCTTGAGAGGCTCTACATCCCACGCTTGTTTTCCACCACTTTCTTCTCAGTCTTCTTCGAACTGCACTGTGGTTGAACTATTACATATCTATATGCACAATGTATTTGAGCATCTGCACAGATTGCCTGGAATTCCCTAAATACTATGATTAATTATGGGATCAGTCTGTATTTGTTTCTACATTCTTCCAAACAAGCTTCTGTATTTCTGGAACTTATCTACTTTATGAGTCACATATCAATGAGACACACACTAATTTAATAACATTTACATGAAACAATGTATGCCTGACAATTCTAATCAGATGAAAATTATCACATTTCTCTTAAAGACAACTTTTCATGAAACACATACAAGTAAAAGGCTTATTCATTTTAAACTACTCCATAGATCTTCCTGCAAACACATAGTGTTTTTCCCCAGATACTGCCATAATTGTGGTTCCAGTGGGAGTTTTATCTCTGTTGAAGACAGCAGGATTGGGCCCAGAGGCTCAGAGTTCAAAAGAAATCAGTGCAGACAATCACGAACAGGTTTCCTAAAATGTTCAGTTTCTGTCTCAATGCCTAAGTGAGGAACCAGATTTTCAGCTGAGTCCTCAAATAACTAAACTTTCAGAAGGGAGAACAGATGCACACATCTTTGAAAAGTTAGTCCTGATGGGGGTTGCTGAACAGCAACACATCCAATCCTGACCCTTCTCTCTTTGAAAGTCTCATCCAAAGCCCTTGAAAGTTACTCCTTTGGGCTCCCAGAGAGTCTCTATAATGCAAGATGGCTTTTCCTGTTTTCCTCTCTACAGTGTACGGTAACATGCGGAGGGGGAGTGCAGACCCGGAGCGTACAGTGCCTGCGCCAAGGGAGACCAGCTTCTGGGTGCTTGCCCCATCAGAAACCAGCAGTCCTGAGAGCTTGCAATACTAACTTCTGCCCAGTCCCTGTGAAAAGAGGTAAAACTCAGCTTTACATGCTGCAGCATGGTTGGTTGCTTACAACTCTATATCCAGCAAACACCACCTTTTCCAGTTACACCCACTGAAGATTAGTATTTGGCATGGTCCTTCATAAATGTTTTTTTCTTAGACTTTCCAGCTTTACAGTTACTCTCTGATAGTACAGAATCTCTCTTCTCAAAGTGAACTTAAACAGACTTGAGTGTAACTGACACAGGAGATTTTAAAAAGAGGGATATGTTAAAAAAAAAAGTATGTCAAAAAGTTATGCCACTTGGTTCTGAGCTGCATCTTTATATTATCTTGTTGAATAACATAGAAGGATCCCATGCTGGTACTGTTTTATGATTAAAAATAGCAACTTTTGAACTAAGCAGTAATCGTTTGCCATTTATTTTTAGTCTTTTGAAGTCCGACCAAGCTGCAAATTGCACCCATATCCTGGAGTCCAAAAATGCTTTGTCTAGAATGTACTTTCTCACTGCTTCTGATTAGTGTCTGATGTGGAGTCAGGGAACATGATATTAAGCTCTGTCCCCACTTGTATGTCCACTGCATCCCCTTCCACCTCTTCAGTCTGTTTAGCAGTTCTAGAAAAGCAAGAGGTTTTATGTCACGCTGAATGATGGAAGGAATTCTCTCCGAACCACTACACAGAGCAGGGCATTAGTGCCTTTTAGTATATTTGCTTACAAGCTGGTTACAGTTGGTGACTCCTTCTTAACTGCAGGAAAAATGCTGATGGAGGTCCAGGTTTGTCCCATATACCGCCAGTTACATAGGTATTCTAAAGCATTTTAAACGTTAACTTCCAAAATACTGTAAATTAACTGTCTTGTTACCATTTTAAAACTGGGAGCTGAAAGTTACCTCTATAAAACCTAGGCTGGATTGCAAAAGAAAAGTGGTAATATTGTTGGGAGCAAAGGTCAAGCTCTGGCCCTGAATCTTGTAAACTGACATTAGCCAACCACCTTTCTCATCTGTACCGACTCCTGGCATTCCATGTGCACAGAAACCCTGTAAAACCCAGTGATATCTTAGACTATTCTACTGCATCAACTCAAAGACATGCAGAATATCAAACTGATACATCAGGGGACCTGAATGCAAACAAGGATATATAGATGAAATGGTATTAAAAGAGATAAGTGAATAGTTCTGCTTTTTTTATAAGTAAATGTTCCTAAAACTTCAAATTAACCTTCCTAAAAAGTTCTGCTGTACTTTGGAGTTTCTGTATTACATCTTTTTCTGTCACGATACAGCAAGCACTTTTCTTTCACCCCTGCCTTCCTCTGCTATATTTCATGTCTGGAGTAATGTCTGTTATTAATTTTGGCCTTGGCCTGTTTCACTCTCTCCTCACATCTGCAGGAGCCCTTTCCCCTTTATTGTAACTGGGTCGTCAGGCTCTAGAGATCAATTATCTCTTCACTGCTCTCTAACTTTCTGTCCAAACCAGCAAAAAGAGGGAACCAGCTGTGCTGGACTCACATTGAAGCAAATCAGTCCCTATTATCAGCCATGCAGCTCCAGCTCAGTGATCACAGTGAAGAAATTAATGTTTCAGGGAGAGTTTACACACACTTTCCTAGACAAACTGGGTCATTTCCGTCCCTCTGTTCGATGCAGTTACGGTCACCGTAACTCCTAGTAAATCCAATTGCTTAAAATGAATGAAAATTTAAACAATATATAAATACTTGAGTAAATAGAAATAAGGAACTGACAGCCTGATCCACATCCACTGAAGCTTGTGGGACTCTTTGTGTTTGGTCTTTGGATTAGGTCCCAAGAGTAAAGTTTTTGGCCACACCTCTGTAACATTAGCATTGCACTGTGATCTTCAAAAGGGGCATAAGGATTTATTAACATTGCCTCCTCAGTGCTTATACATTTTTTTTAATCAGTAGTTTGTAATTTTTGAAAATCTACCCTTCCATGGCAGGAGAGCTTCTTCCTGACTCAATCAGAACAGCTTTCCTCACTTTGTGCTGTGCATGTTTTTCACCTGTTGTCTGCTTTGGGTCCCCCCAGCAGCACATTCTGTCTGGTGAAGTAACGTGAGGGCTGGTGCTGAACTCCCAGTCACATCCCAACTGACACTCAACTGAGAACACAAATGCGATGCTGTGGGTGGAAAGGCTGCAGTGCAGTACTGAGCTTCCCAGTTCCCAGACAAGTGACTGTTCAAGGACAGTATTTCATTTACAAAACATGAGTATTTACAGACAGGCTTATGTTTTTAAGAACTAAGGTATAAAATGACATCTTTAAAAAAAATATTATTACATTATTTTTTTATTCATTCAAATAATTTGAGGGTGATAAAGGTATACAAAATCACCTTTGCCATCATATAAAAGAGAAGGAATAAGTGACTGATCAAAAGGAGTTCCTACAGAGAGCTGGAGATCACTCCTGTCCCACAGAATGTGAAGACATTGTCTGTTCTATGTGAGGGAGTATTTATCTTCTGTGACTCAGCCTAGCTGATCTGAGAACGCAGACAACGGTGGCGAGGTTTTTCTTCACTGTCTCCTTGTAAATTCCTTTTATTGACCATGTAAACAGTAGTTCTGAGAGTCAAATGGAGCCTTTTCCCATACTCACGGGAGATTTCTGTTTAGCTATAAATTTTGCTAAACCTCATTTAAATGTCTTACTGATCTCTCAGACATGGTGAATTTGTTTATAAATCATCCATATGAACCATCCCTCTGCTCTTTTAAAGAAACATAAAGCATCCACCACAAAACTGTAGAAAGGAGCAGCTATGAAGTCTTTTTAAAGTGACTGGGCTGTGTGTATAAGTGATCTGTACGTAATTTTAAGTAAAATCTTAATTGAAAAATATGGTTTATTTGTATTTGTACTTAAAAGCTGGGCTTTTCAGAACTCAACATTGTCAGCCTGTCTCTTTTCCCACTGCAGTTAATTAAGATTTCACCAACATGGCATAAGTCAAAGTCCTAAAAGCCTAATTCTTGCCACCTAACTAAAGTCTCTAAGAAGAGAGAAGAATTAAATCCCTCTAGGAAGTGTAGGAACACAAACACACGTGTGCACAGAGCAGGGCCCACACATTCAGATTTCTGTGCATTTTGTGTGCTCATGCACATACACTCAAAGCTGACACTACTTTGAGGTGCAGGTAAATTCCATGTGATGTTGACAGCAACAGGCAACCAGCTTCAAGCATGGAGCAGGCTCATTTGTACAAGTACCTGGCTTTAGAACAAATATTTGTAATTGGAGATGAAAATACAGATTACTTTTTTTATCCTCTACAGTGGAACTTCCTCCTGTTTTCCTGAACTTCAAAGTATGCTCTAAATTTTTTAATTCCTTTAGCCTCTGACCCTCCTGTTATATTAGTTCTCTCTCTATCAAATTAACAACTTTGATCTCTTAACAAATTAAAAAAGAAACTAGTATTTTTGAGATGAAAGCTAGCTCATGGTTCCTCTTCTTTGAATTGGGTCACCCATTGTGTTTTTAATACTACCAAATGCATACAAGTGTGTGGAACTATTGCCTGACTTGCAGACTTGCTAAAACACAGTCTTACCATATTGCTTGTATTTCTCTCCTTCAGATGATCCTTCCTGTGTGGACTTCTTCACTTGGTGTCATCTGGTACCCCAGCATGGTGTCTGTAACCACAAATTTTATGGCAAGCAATGCTGTAAATCATGCACGAAAAAGAACTGATAGGAACGTGTTATCTGAACCCTTCAGTGACAGGATTCTCTTCTTCAATTTATGTTGGAATTAACTTTGCTTTGAGGTAAGACATGGTGCCACAAAAACCACTGATGGAAGAGACATTTTTTCTAAGGGAATGTCTGAGGTACAGTAATCGTTGGATACATATTGAAAAAGGAATGTTTCTTTTTTTTCTTTACTTGCTGACCTCACTAAGTACAGGGTACTGTGGATCACTTGAACACTGAGACTCGAGGGGCAGTTCTTTCTTTAAAAGTGTCATTTTGCACTGTCATATGTTATGAGGAAGAAATTAAGACAAGAAAGCCTTTTCTGGCTAATTTACCAGGATGCAAAGCAAAGAGCTTGGGAGCTCGAGGAGGAAGGTTACAGCGTGGCAGCACAACAGATCGCACTATTAAAAGTGTTTCCTTTCATTTATTTTTTTGATACTATCATCCCAGGGTAAGGAGCTGTTCACTGCCACTTTCACAGAAAGACATTCAAATGGCTGTTGTCTGAAGAAGGCAGCGTCACACGTGTGACCACAAGAAGTAAATAGTGCACTACAAAGATATATGGTGCTTCTCTATTAGACTTGCTGCTGGAAAAGCAAGTTGTGCATCATGCTAATGTTTCTATTGTTTTGAAGAATTCATTTTCTGCTTTGTGTAGAAACTCAGAGGTGGTTAACTAGTAACTTGAAATGTATTCCTAGAAATATTCAGTGTTAGAATATTTGGACTTTTAATATTGCTGTGTTACAAGTAAAATAGAATTTCATATTTCAACTAACTCAAGGAACTCAGATTTATTGAGCTCAACGGTTATGTTTTCAACTTTCTAAGCTCATTAGATTTGTAATTTTAAAATTTAAACTTGATATTTTAAAGTAGTTTTTTTCAGAAGCTAGGTTGTTTGAATGCCAAGATACTGAAGAATGTCTTCCTTTTAATCTCAAATCTCTGCAAATTTTGATTCATCTGTTACCCAAAGGAAATACCAAGAATATTACAGTCCATTAATTCATGCTAAACTTCTCTAAATAGTTATTTATTCATATAGGTTATATTAAAAAAAAAAAATGGAAAAGATAAGTGGATAATTTACTCTAACCAAATGGAAAAAGTCAATTCTATTTTTATACATTCTCCTAATACTTTTACTTAGTTCAGAATCCACCAGCAAACAAAAGAAATGTAAACATAATGATATTTCTAATCATTCAGTATCAAGATGTTCGGTGACACTATATATCAAATAGTACAATTTAAAAATTTCTGCTTTGAAAAAACACCCAACCTATTTGCCAAACCCGTTCTGAGACAGAGCTGTGTTCTACTGTAATTTTCTGGGGAGTGCCCATGAGGGATATATTTATCTAATTCCACCCAATCCCACAACTTTGTTTGATGAATGTAGTTCATTTTTACTGTTTTTTTAAAGTATCATTTCAGCATAAGATTAGCCAGCTCAGCACTAATGCCAGACAGTGGTCACTTAAAATTAGCAGTTCCTTCTGAAACAATTTAAATTAGAAACATGTATTCTATGATACTTTAAGAAATGATGATTGGAAGCATATCACAACCTACACTGCTCTGTCTTGATATTGGACATCATGTAGTTATAACCATTTTTCTAGGAAAACTACAAAGGTTTTTTTTTGTTTTGTTTTTGTAATTGTCCTTTTTATTATTTGATGTAAAATAATTAATTTATTAATGCATAGCTTTTCCTTTATATTTCTTTGCTCACTTCCTTAAGTGACAACTGAGGAAAGAAAATGGTAGTGTCACAAAGTATGAATTATGGTGTAAAAAAAGCAAAAAATATAAGTGTAATATTTAATTATTTTATAAGCTTTGTAATAAAGTACTCTGTTTCATTATATTTGGAATTGTAAAATTCATGAATAAAATATGGAGGTTATAAGAAAATACCAAGTAATATAAGGGTGTGTGCATTTAGTTGTATTTGTGTCAATTGTCCCATGGTGTCTTTAAGTAAAACATTATCCTGTTTTCTTCTGCCAGGTAACTGGCCAAGGGCTGTGACTCTGAGCTGACGCCAGTTCTCTGGAGGGGTAATGACAAAATCTGCCCATAAGCAAAGCCTGTTCTTTGGGGCAGTGGAAATTTAGCCACCACAGCTAAGTGTGACCTCTCTGCCTAACCATGCCCCTAGCATTCAGGTCTCGTCGGGGTTAATAATGGCAGGGAAACCTCAAAACAGTGGATTTGAGTGTTAACAAGCCATTATGATGAATGGGATGGAGGTCATTCCTTTCAGGCACTCAAAGTCAGGACTGTGTGCTAAGGTCATGTGAAACTTCTCTGTTTGTGAAGGTCCCATTATAGTGGCAAGTGAGGAATGCACGACGCGTTATTCAGCAGAGTGAATATATTGTAGTTGCCTTTTAAGAGCAGAAGATGTTTCTCATTTGAATGACTACCCTACCATTGAAGCAGCTGCCTTAGATTGTGCCCATTTCAGGCGTGAAAAAGCAAAATGGACGTAACTTTATGGTTTTATTTTCATAACAACACAAAAGCTAAAATACACAAAAATACACTTGTCCCCCTATGTGCAAGACAAAACTGACCAAAGACAGTGGAAACTTGTGTATCACAGAACCAGCATGATTCTTCCCTGCATGGATTTATCTGCAAGGTGGCTTGCAAGATAAGAAGCCTCATTCAACACAGCATTAGGTTCCACAGCCTCTCCCATCTGCCTGGGGATACTTCATTTTTCTAAATAATAACTCACCTGAGAAGTTTCGAAGCCAATCCCTAGTAGGGACTACATCGATTCACTGGATCGTTTCATATATATATATATTTTCTAACAGATATTTGCTACTTTTCCCTTCATTTGCCATCACTCAGTTCTGACAACAGCCCCCCCATGCAGAGTACTGCTGGTAGGAAATACTGAGCTTGCTTCTGACTTGTGGTACAATCTAGTAGTCCATTATAAGCAATAGATCTGCTCCTGAAGGATTCCCAGCAAGTGCCCTTTTGAACACGATTTGGACTAGTGACTTAAGTAATTAATACGCCCACACAAGAATTCAGACTCTAAACTGCTTTGTGTTCTGGGCTAGAATTTTGGATTTAAAATGAAGTGACAGTTGTCAGTGAATTACAGTGTTGGAGATGGATGTTGAAAGAGGAAATATTGCATAAAGATGTGCTATCGTGTGGTTGGATCAACCCCAAGTCCACAACTGTTTTATTGCTGAGCCCTTACAACGATATTTGGTATACAAAGCTTGGCAATTTTCTAGAAGTGTATTGCTGCAAGGCTCACTTTATAAAGCAGAATGGGGTCTTTTCACAAAGGAATAGCTCCGTTTCCTGTAGTCAGATTTCATCACTCAGGTAAAGGATGCATCTGCCTAAAACTCAAACAGATATTTAATGAATGGCTTGATTGTGTAAATCAAACTCAACTATCTCGGATGCCCAGAAGACATGAAATGTTGGAGACAGATGAACGTTTCGCTGCATGTGGTTTTACAGTAACATGATCCCTATCCCATATTTCCTTTATTTTTCAGCAAATCCTATTCAAAAGCATCAATGAAATAAATTAACATTATTATTTCTATTGTAATAGCAGTCCAACCCTACTGAGTCACCGGGCTCCCATTGTGTACAACACTGTATACACATGTCAGGAAAGGCGTACGGTCCCGAGTGTACAACAAGAAACAATAGGAAGACGTTAACAGTGAGCTCATTGTCATGGAGAGAAAAAGTGTTGCTGGTGGCTCACTGGCTGTCTGGACGCTGCAGAACATTTCAAAGGCAGCTCCACACAGATAAGATCTAAAAGAGCAATATTAAGGAACTTTATCTTGACTCTTTCAAAAGTAAACGCTGAGCATTGCTGAGGTCTGAGAGGACAGCAGAAGGGAAAGGCAGCAGGGAAGCTGGGATGCAGTGGAACGAATCACAAACAAGGTGTATTCAATGCTGCGTCCTAACCAAGATAGCGACTGTCATGAGAGGGAAGCAATATATATGAATCATTTCAAACTGTTAGCCTGGCAGATATCAGAGACTAGAGAGATGTGAATTTCTGTCAAGGCAGTAAGTCTTCTTTCCATCAAAAAAAGTTCTGAAATAAGGAGACTCCGCAGCTGCTAGAAAATACCTTAAGTTCCTCCCAAGCCAATAGTGTATGAACATCAGCCAAATCAAGCTGACCTTCCTGTCTACTTCCTGCACACCGTGCACCACTATCATCAATATTCTTCTTCCCCTATTCTCCAGAACAAGTCCAGGTCCAGGCTGGGCTGGGACATGTCCTTTGATGTATATCACATTCCAAAGTTCTTCACCTTGCAGCTTACAAACAGCACTCGCTTCCCACAAGGCCAGGCAGTGACAGAGCGGTAGTGGGGCCGTTCTGACTCTCAGATTTGCACTGCCAAGGGTGCAGGTGTGGGTTGGTATTTACAACATTTGCATTGCATTGCCCATGGGACATCACTGCCTCTGCCCCGGGCAGAGGTCAGCAGCAGCACACTTGGGCCCGAAGAGCTTGTACCTTCTAACAGCCAACACACAGCAGCAGGGCTAAGGGAAGTAGTGCGCTTGTTTTCCATGAGAGATATTGGGGCAGAAACAGCCAGAATGTCCCAGCCAGGCTGAACTAGCGACAAAACCTGACCTTCTCAATTCACAATGCAATGTAGTAACATCAAAACCACTTTTCCTCGTGCTCCCTGAAGAAAAGCATCTATTATGGGACCTATACTTTGAACTAATAAGTATTTTATATACTTTCTGTTGAATAATAGTAAGTGTTCAATCATGAACAGAATCTGGTTTAATTTCTGGATTCTGCCAATGGAGGCAGGAACCTTCAGCTAAGCCGTAACTTCCAGGCGTACTTTCTGAGCATTAAATCAAGCTATTGTCACTGTACATTTCAGCCTTAACACCATCGTGTACCTACTTCAACTTATGATAGACCTTTAGTACCCCTAAGGTGACTTGGGCTGCCAAGCATTCATTTATTATGTTCTGTTGTGAAAATGTTCACTATTCCTTTCATAATAACATAGAGCTGACATAAAAACTCATTCAAAAAGAAGATGAAAAGGTTTATAATGGAAATGTTTACACATGAAGTTCTTACCTATGGAAAGCAAAGAGATTTCAGAGAAAAGCTTACACAAGAACTCCCTCTTCGGGATCTTCATCTTCCCATATCACTGTAATACCTGAACTGGGTCTATCTAACCAGAGAAACCGAAAGCATTCTCCCCAAAGCAGGAATTCCCTGCCTACACTCCTGTGCTTCCATGGAAGTAACAGTCCTCTACTAGCTCTGTTTAGATGATAGTTGAAGAGATTCAGGATATCTGCAGAATTCAATAGTTGCTCA